TCCCTCTAAATCCTCCACACTGGACATTTAAAAAGATCAGAAACCACTCAAAACCAAAGCAGGGATGCAGAGTTTGACAGAATGTATTTATACAGCAAATACACAAAATAAATAGCAGTCTGAACCAGACTTACCCAGTCCTCAGTCTTTATCTTTTAAGACTCATCTTTCCGGTTTGGTTTTGCATCTGGTGGCATCAGTGAATGAGGGATACAGAGGAACGAAAGAGAGTGTTTACCACATTGTTAAAAAAAGTGTCTTACAACATAATCAGCTGCTGCATGCACAATGCCCACACTGTCAGTGATGTGTTGGCCTTTGTTGACACGGATAACAGAGCTATTTCTTTTCTTTGTAAAAATCTGCTCTCTCAAGCTGTTCTCTGTCAAATGCCTTTAAAGACCAGAACTTGAAGTGCTTTAAATGTTTCAGACGGGTGTTGAAATTTTGCTTGTTGAACAAGAAAGCCCTTTTCTTCTAAACGCAAGATTAAGAAATCCATGGTTGGAATTCAAAGCTACCAATATCTTACATTGAATATTGCAACATTTATGTGTCTCTTTCAGGCGGCAGAGCAGACCAGCCCTCAGCCATAATAGATTAGCAGAGGAAGGTTTCCTTAAATGTGCTTTCAGTGTGTGCTAAGATTAAATTCTGAGTGGGAGTAGGCAGAACAGTCCACAGCGATCCATTCAGGACTATATATTCTGGCATAATGTCTTCTACATAAAAGCCCATTTCCTCCACCAGCAGCCCATTTTCATGCACGTTGGCCCTGTCCTAAAAATCTGCAGAGGAAATGGACCACACTGCGTCTATTTCCAGGACGGCCTCCGCGGTCCAGCCTCATTAAAATGCATTACCGCTATGGCTCAACTTATACCTCAAGTTGCTGCCTAAGCTCTTTTGTTTTAAGTGCAGCTGCTAAGGTGAATTTTTCCTTCGCTGCGGTATGGTGATAACCTCAACACATGGAGACATTGTTAGAGGCACATGAGGTGGTTTCCAATCTGATAAGAGAGACAGAAAAAGAGTGTGTATATGTGTGTTGGTCAATCTGGCTTCGTCGTGTGGATTTTCCAACTGACACGACCACGTCTGCATTATCTGACCAGTGGCCAGACCATGAGAACAATGATAGTAGCGGCTGTGTGTTGCAGGATTGTTGTATTGTACTTACAGGAAAACTGCCGCTGCTACTGCAGGCTGTTTCTGTCCAGAGGAAAGAGTGTGGTCACCTGAAATCAGACACAAAATTACAGCTCACTTCCAAGGCTCTGATTTTTCAAGTGGGCCTATTGTGTCTGGGACAATTTGTGGTGTGCTGGAAAAAGAAAGCGCAGCAACAAAGTATGCAAAATATGTAGAAAGAATAGCTTGCATGACTATAAATTATATTCTCCTAATTTGGAGCCAATTAGTTGCACATAGAGGGACATGGTCCTGACTGCCCGCTGCGGTTACGAGACGACACACGGACAAACTACAGAGACTGTTTTTATTTGTTTTTATAGGTCATAAAGTCAGGACGAGCACTTCCACATAAAATGTCAACAGATAAATATCGTTAGATGATAAACTCGCTTCAGAAAATCTTTTGATGGGCCAAAGTCTCACCTTTTAAGCCACTTTCTGAGTTTCACTTCTCGAACAGTGGAGGTTCTTTGGTTTTGTAGGTGAGCTATGGTGACATTTAGAAATATGATACAGAGCTTTACATTATGTCAGGCAGTAAACTGTAAGTGTTGAGCATGTTTACTGTTAAAGCATCAGTATGCTTCAAAATAAGCATGTGTCAGATAGTCTGAAACCTCCTCCACACACTTGAGTGTTACTACAGTGACTGGAAATCTACTCTTTATGTTGTGTCTAGGCTGTGGTCACTCGTCTGTGTTTTAAAGAAAATACTAATGACTAAATCCTGGCTGGCAGACAGTGAGTAAGCTGTTTGGGGCTTACCTGGAGTTGACATTAACAGCTGGCTCAAGCAGTCAGCCCAAAAATGTCCATCAAAAAAGTTCTTGAAAAACAGAGGTATCAGAGGTAGTCGACTTAACAGCTCTCAGGAAAAGCAAGAAACAGTTGTAGGCTCTCGTTCAGTCCAGCAGCAGCTCAGCAAAGCTCAGCATATGCTGCTGACATGCAAGTAACACACCTGGAGCTGAGTTACTTGATAAGCCCCGCCCACCAGGGGAACATTAAGGCTCATTTAAGGCTCATTTGTACACCCTTTACAGACGAAAACAGATACATCCATTTCAAATGTTGTAAACGTCATTGCCCTCGTACTTACATGCGTCCCTTATGTTGACATTGATACATCCAGTAGATGGCACTAGAGGGCAGAGTCCAAAGTTTCCCACAACAACAAACGAGGCGCTGGTGGAGGAGGTCAAAATATTGCACCTCTAAATGGAGGCAGCTGTGGTCACTGAATGAATTGCAACACGTCGATGGAGGATTCTTTTCCCTAGATTACTGATTTGTTACGTTCCGCCATTATTTAAATTTCTTTGTCGTCTCCTACTGTCATATCTCGCTTGAACTAAGCTACACTGCCTCCGCAATCTCTGGTGGTACTGCTCCGTTTCATCCGTATTCGTAGGCTTTCAGAAAACATGCTCAAATATGCATGAAAAGGAACAGAGTACAGACAGAAGGCTCCATCTTTCTCCATCTCCTTATCTAACACTGAGCGTAAATGAGTGTTTATGCCTTGTTGACACTTATGTATGTGACTGGTGTCTGTAGGTCTGTAAATATACAAATGATGCCTCTAGTGTCCAACTCAAGGAAGTGCGTTTCTTTACAGATGGATAGAAACCTGATAAAAACTACCTATAGCCACTGGAGAGAGGCTAATTTTTCACCATCCAGTAGTTAAAAATATGTGCTTGGAACATCACCAGGACAAAAACAGGACCTGCCAGGTACGTGGCATGTTTTGTGAAATATTAAATTAAAAAGACATATAAATGTCTGAACAAGTCATAATGACACTGTGACTGTATGTATGCCCATATTTTAACAGAATGACATTACTCAGATTTACAGTGTGTTAAAACGAGACCAACTCAATTGACGATCAACACAGGCAACTGAATGGAAGGAAATAGCCTGTTAGCTAGTTAGCAGCCTGTTAGCTAAGCTAGCACATTGTCTTAGGGTCTCTCCAAAATCCACCAGAAAAGTTAATTTTTTTTTTACATATTCTTGGCTAAATCTGGACAGAAATATTATGGAGGGGAGGAGTTTCGCAGGCACATCGGATTTCACATAGGAATGAATGGATTTCCATGTGACTCGTCTCCGTACACATACGTAAGTGGAAACAAGGCCTTAATATTACTTTAGGCTCTGGAGCTTAAGACTATTTGGAGGCCCTTCCCTACCTTGACAATACAGACTGCCATGGCTTCATTTAGGTTCCTTTCATCACGAATCACCTAATTTTAGAAAACTTTTGTGTACATTAAAGTGTATTTATTCATAGTTGTGAAACTACCCTTGATTTGCTGAAGGTTAGAATATTCTTACATAAATTATGCCAGAGTAATACGGGAGAGAGTGAAAAGTGTGACAACCGACCCTGGTTGGTTAATTCAAGATCCCCCGTCAATGGACAACAGCAAAGAGTCAATGAAACGCCCTCCATCAATAAACAGAGTATGAAACTCATCAATATAAGACATGAAGTCAATAATAATAAATCAAGACAAAGCCAAGTTATCAGCAAAGCAGTCCTCTGTGCACAGCTCACCCACCAGCAGCCAGCCAAAACAAAGGAGGAACTGGTAACGCGAGTCTATGATCAAACCTGACTGGAGCCTACAGCTGATGATTTTTGAAGGTGGGACTGTAGGCAGAATTTGACAGAAGCATTCACTTGAGAAAAAAATACATTTTTAGTTTAAGAAAAAAGCTGTGTATTTTCTGCATTAACAACATTATATATCTCAGAATTCTGAGAAAAGTTTTCATGAAAAAAAATCTGCTTTTGTTTGTGTGAATTAACAAGATAATAATCGCATTAGTTCAGGGAAACACATCCATTTTTTTTTCTCACGTGAATGCATTGTGCATAGGCTTTGAACCTCTCTCTCAAGCTCTCTTCAATCTTTGCTGAACTACTTGTGTCATTTTTCGTGTGTACAATCAAGTGCAGCACCATGATTGCCTTTGAGGAGAGACAGCCTAAAGCTCTCATATCTGTATGAGTAAATATTAAACCAAGAAATAATCTGACTCATAACTCCCTTGAAACCACACATTGATGTTTTCACAGTAGGGTACATTTTTTTAATGGATTAAAAGAACAAGAGTGTATTAAACAATGAGCTTTAGAGGTACTTAGAGGTGGATTTTACCTTTGGACAGAGCCAAGTTACCTGTTTTCCCCTAGCTTCCAGTCTTTATGCTTGTGGTAGGACGGCACAGCCCGTCTCCACCCATGTTGTTGTGTGCGTATTGGATCAGTGGGAATGGTGGTGTGAGAGGCCGTTTACACGTCGCCGGCTATTTTCATAAACGGACATTTCACCGTCTCCGTTTTCAAAAAGATCTTCGTTTACACTTACCCGTGTATATATACACAAGAGCATGCCAAACCTGTAGGTGGCAGTGTAACGAGAAGCTCAAGCCTTCCATGTATCCATTGTCACCATAGCAACATAGGTCGCACTTTTTACACAGGCGCAAGTTCCGGCGTATACTGTGACGTGGGCTGCCTATAACTCCGTTTATCTGCGTTTATCTCAGTTTACATGCAAACGCGCAACCGGAGTTTTCCAAAATCTCCACTCTGGCCGGAGTTTTTAGAAAGACTCGTTTTCAGAGGAGAAATCTCCGTTTGCGTGTAAACAAGGGCACAAACAAAGGAAGATGTCTCCTTTTATCAAAATCACCGTGTACGTGTAAACGGCCTCTAAACTCGCTCCTTTGCGCCCCGCCCATTGAATACTGATGGGTTGGCAGCAATTATCCTATTGCACCTTGCGTACTGGGCGGTGCTGTGCCAAGTTATATCTGGGGGAGGGCTGCGCGTCTCGGATGTGCGTCCTCCTACCTCTTCCTGAAGCCTGGGCTGCGTGTCGGCAGCGTGGTTTGGCGTGGCTGTGTCGGCTCCACGTGGCTGTCTTGAGACGCTGGTTATTGAGCTTCCTCCGTTCACTTTTGTCAGGTATGTTCCGCCGCTATCGCTGCATCTCTTGGTTATATTAGTGGTGTGTCTGATGCGCTCTGTGCTTTCTAGCAGAGTTGGCTTGTATTCCGGCCGGAGGTTTGGGAGTTGGGCGTGTGCGGCCTCGGAGCTGTGCGTAATAATCCACGCTCTGCGTTGGATCCCTGAGGTAGGCTGGCTCATTTCTGCTTGGCGTTTTTGCGCTTTTGTCGAGCTGCACACAAAATGTGACTTTGGTCTCTGATTGTTGTTGGCAGTTATTAGGCTGCATCCCTTCGCGGCTACCTCCCCTGTGGCCTGGGAAGCTGCGCCTTTACTGAAGGGTATGTATGTGTGCATTTACATGGTTTAATCTATCTAAATGTAATTCGGTGTAGTAATTTTAACCTATTGTATATCACCGCAGGTGGCTCCACCTCTGAAGCGGGCCGCTGCGCTACTGCTGCTCTGTCTGTGGGTTCGCTGCGGCAGGCTCACTGCTCGTCTCCCGTTTTTTTATTACTATCGTTTCGTTTGTTTTTTGTTTTTTTTTTTTTTTTCTTTATTTACTAATCCGGGTGTGAGCGCGGGCTTGCTGCCTTGCACGCCTAGAGTAAATTTATTTGGATAAAAGTGAGTGTTGGTTGCACCGCATGTGGCGCTGTCTCTGTAGAGGAAATTAATGCAGTGTAGGATTTAAAGCTGCACCCGGTGCACTGATCCTCGTCAATTAACCTATCAATCTTTGGTTAATTATTGTTTTTTTGTTTTCTTTTCGTATTGTAATCAGTTATTCATTGTTATTGCTTACAGATTTTATGATCATTTATTGTTATTTTTCTGAACATTCTGTGTTTAATTATTGAGTTATTCTTCTTAGTAGCTTTTGTTTTTTTTTCTTTTTGCTATTGGTTTATGGTGAGCGCGGGCTTGCTGCCTTGCACGCCTGGAGTAAATTCATTTGGACGAAATCGAGTGTTGGTGGCACCGCATGTGGTACGGTCTCTGTAGAGGAAATTAATGTGGTGTAGGATTTTAAAGCTGCACTCACACTGATCCTCATCAGCTAACCTATTAATTTTGGGTTAATTATTGTTTTGTTTTCTTTTGTTTTGTTTTCTTTTTGTATTACGATTAGTTATTCATTGTTATTGTTTACAGATTTTGTGGTTATTCATTGTTATTTTCTGTAGATTTTGTTTAGTTATATAGTTACCTTTGTTGGTAGATTTTGTTCTTTTTCTTTCTTTCTTTTGCTTTACTGGGTTAACTGGGAGTGTGTGTGTGTGGGTGTGTGTGTGTGCGAGTGGCAATTAACAGCACAATCAACCTTGGTGGTGACATTTTGGGCCTAGCATAGTGTGGTGTCAGGGCAGTTGTTTTATATGTGTTGCCCTTTGCCCTGACTAATAGTTTGCTTCTTTTCTTTGGACAGGAGCTGTTGGGCCGGTGCGGTGAGTGGCTGACTGATCCCTGCGGTGGTGGTCCCTTCACTCCCTGTATAGTCGTGCACTTGGGTGTCATTCAGCGTTTTTTTTTTTTTTTTCTCACGTGTGGTGTGTAGTATCAGGACCCTTCCCCTTCACCTCAGTTGGTCATCTCCGCCTGGTAAGCCCTCAGCCCTGTGCCTAGTGTTTGCACTTTTATAGCAAACCTAACCAACCCATTAAGTAGGCCCCAAGGATTGTGCCATATCTGGCCACTTGTCTTATCTCTTACCTCATCACCCAGAGACTTTATTCAAATTTTGAGATTTTAAATTGTTATTAATAAACTTTATTTTTATAATTTTCTTGGAATCACCTCTGTCTCTCGTGTCATTCGTACCTGTGTGACCTTTTTGTCAGCGTTAGAGTGGTGGTCCCCTCTACCAGATTTCCTGGGGGTGGAATCCCCCTAGGTGGCGTTGTCGGACACTTGTTAACTAGCAAAATTAAATCTAACCCTCGTAGACCTTGCCACATGCTCAACTAAGCTAAGCTAAGCTAAGCTAACCGGCTGCTGGCTGTAGCTTAATATTTAATGGACAGACCTGAGAGTGGTCACACCAAGAAAGCAAATTAGGTCAAACATTTTTTTAAGACGTCACAATGTAAAAAGTTTGTTTTGGACGGAGTCAGGCTTCCTCTTTCCCTGTTTCCAGTCTTTATGCTAAACTAAGCTAACTGGATGCTGGTTGAAGCTTAATATTTAACAGACAGACATGAGGTTTCGATCTCTTTCCTAACTCACACCAAGAAATCAAAGAAGAGTGTTTCGCAACATATCAAACTTTTTTTATTACGGCATTGTAAAAAGTTTGTTTTCAAGCATACCCCAGCTTTTACTCAGCACAGCCAGTGTGTGGGTTACGTAACAGATTAATAGGAACCTGCTCATCCCAGGTTCTGTCTTCCTATCAGCAGTGACACACAAAACCTCCAGAGAGACTGTATGTTTTTTTTAACTTTGCAGAGACACTCAAACTCATCCAGCACTCATCTTTCATCTAATGAGGCCCCCTTACTCCAGATGTCCTCACGAAAGCAGCTGCCAGTTGTATCAGGCACATACTGTATATAACATCCACTCTTTCCATGCTTTTCCCATCTCTCTCTCTTCTCTCTTTCTATCTGTTGCTTTCAATTCCTCTTGAAATCCCTCTGTAGTTTGTGGAAAAGCGGCAAGGAATGCCCTGGCACTGTAATACAGCATCATTAGCCACAGCAGAGTCCTTTGGCTTCTCGCTGCCAACTCCAGCCTGCACGTCTTAATCTTCACCACTGTGTACACTTGTTGTCCAGCTGGTACTATGGCAACGGGGCTGCTTTCTGCTAGACCTTTGCTATGATATCTGGAGTTAGAGAGAGCGAGAGACACTCACACACACACAAGGACACACATGTGGGCAGGAAGACAGACCAACAGGAGGAAAAGCAATAAAGAGTGAGCTTTAAAATGCCAGCTCAGCTCCCAAAGTGGAGCAGTGAAATACTGACGGAGGGAAGGTGAGGCACTTCTGCTTTGCTCTGTTGGTGTTGGCCTGCGCTCTTCTTGCTGTGATGGCTTCAGTTCTCATCATTAGCCACTTTACCAGTGTATCCTGGGGATGTACTGCATGTCAGAAAATAGGCCCAGACTTAAATAATTAAATACATTATATGCAAACCTCATTGGTTATGGCAACAGGCACGGGCAGACGTCCAAACACATGGAATATGACAACTACACATCATGTTTTTGAACAAGAAACTCCCCATTAGAGCTGATTTTTAGAGACCAACAGATGTTTTAGGCTCGGTTCCTATAATGATGGTATGGGCAGTGACAGATTAGTGAGATGAGGTTTACGTGGCTTAACCTTCACATCTATGCAGCTCATTCATTATTTATCAGGGCTAGCGGCATCGCACACATGACAGGCCCTCAGAAACATGCAGATTCTGAGCCCTCCTGCTTTAAATGAATGGAGCGTCCTTGGTAAAGCTCCATTTATTATTAAAAGCAGAGGCAGGAGTTTGTACCTAGAATGTGTTCCTTCACTCAGTGAAAGCATGTACTGTGCTGTATTATTCCATAGTGCAAGGACACATGAAATTAAAAAGCTCTGTATTTTACAAGTCATACTGAATCACAGCCAGAGTAAAGTTAGTGGTGTCTAGGACACTTGCTATCTAGTACTGACCTGAGTAATGCAGTGCCAAGAAATATTGAAACTTCTCCAGTCAAACGACACCTGCATTTAATAAGTATCCAGCTTTAAAAAAAAATTGTATGGTTTTACTCACAGCCAGTCACTGCAAGTATTCTTTGATTTTATGTCCCACTACCATAGCAGCTAAAACCCATACAGTCTACGGTGTGGTAAAGTTGAGGAAGTTGTACTTGACGGAGTTGGCAGCTCAGCGTGCCAAGATACCACCAAAACATTTGAAAGTATGGCTATACTACACGACTGTGGTGTGTGGTGGCATTTTACGAAACCAAATACTTCCATTTATGGGTATCAAAGGAAGTAGAAAGAAAAAGGTATCAATTGAAATGCTCTATTGGTAGTGGTATCACTTTAAGGGTATTGGTATCTTAGTTTGTTTAAATCATATCCAGCCCTAGTGATGTCAGCCCTGTGTCCAGCAACTGGCATTTTCAGTAGGCAGAAAGAAGTTAAGCGTAAACCAAGCAGCAACCTCCAGAGCTGAAAAATGAAGCCAACATGAAATGCCAAAGACTGCAGTTTCTTGAATGACCACTAGAGGCTGGCTTCAGAGGAGCGTGAATCCCCATAGACCCCAGCGTTAAAATGCCCTGAACTCTGCAGCAGAAAAAAAAAATGTTTCAGCCTGGTACAAAAACAGTTTAGGCTTACGCATATTTAAGGGAAAGGTTGCCTGAGTGACAGGCTGTCGATGTTAAGAGTTCGTAAGTCAGATCCAGCACCCACTCATCCACAGCTCCACCCTCTTGTCCAGATATAGTCACTTCTGGCCTTCAATATCCAAAGTTGTGCGGGTTCAAAATGGCACACCACGAACCACTGGGTGACATTACGGAAGCCACGTCCATTATTTTATACAGTTTACGACATAAACACAGCTCTTGGAATTTGGGTCTTTTTTTTTTTAGTTTCGGTCATCATCATTTCAGCTAGACATAAAGAAATAGCAGTGGACAACCACACAGAAAACTGAAAAGGTCACCAGTTGAATAATATTGTCCAAATTGGCTTGTTAGAAAGTGAAAATGCCAAACATTAAAGTTATTTTACCCAGACTTCTATTAGATCCCCCAGCAACAATAAGCCATTGCAGGTGTGTTCAATTTTAGTGTACATCCAAGTAATAAGTTTATATAGTGGTTACTCAGCTTTAAAGCTGTAGCCACATCCCTATGGAGTTAGTTATGTTTCTTTAATATGCAATCAAACAGATAAGGGTTGAGAGCACAGCTTTACACACTGCAATCGATACATTTTGTATTGCAAGTAAAATAATGTGTTTAGAAATGTATAGTGTCAATTAAGTTTTTGCTTGCTGTTGAGCGTTTATTTATTTAACCTTTATTTAACCAGAGAAACCTCTTGAGATTAAAACTCTTTTTCAAGAGTGTCCTGGCCAAGACAGGCAGCAATATAAGTTACAGACAGACAACACAGAACAAAAGTACAGAATAAAAATGTACAGCTGTAAAACAAGCAATATAAAACACAAAATAAGATTACTACAAAGAAAAGCCAAAAAGTATGTTAATGTATACTAGAAGTGAACCATAAAACACAATACGGGCAAATATACATGATCACAAAGACAAGCTAAAATACACCATTATATTGGCATATACTGTAGAAGACTGTGAATCAAAACCCTGCAACAGTGCTTTGAAGCGGCCGAGAGGAACCAAAGAGTGCAACAAGTCCTTCTGCAGAAGATTCCACATATAAGGAGCTACATACATAAATGCTCGCTTGACAAGCTGTGTACATTCCCTCGGTTCAGACAATAAAAACATGTTCTGTTTTGTCCTGGGAACTATACTAAAAGATGTAAGACAAGTCTATCTTGATCGGGGCGACAGCTTGGCGCCATCCACTTAAGTAAACAAGAAACAGTTTCCATGGAGTCCATGAAAGCGTGGGAGTGGAGATAAAAAAAAAAAAAATGACTGTATGTTTACGCATGACTTCCATCTTGGTATTAGCAAGGATGTTATGTTTGAACTGGTGCATGTAGATTGATTTTATTCAGTGATTTGTGATTTCATTTTGTCAGTCTGTAGCTTAGCTCAGTTAGCTAGCCATTTGCTCCTTATTGGCACGTTACATTTCCAGGCTGCCTTTCAGCCTGCATGAAGTTGTGCATGTAGAAGCTGTAGTCAACAGACTATAGTGTTCAATGATCAAACATGATTCATTTTTCCGTAATTGCTTATCCTGTTGGGGGTCGCAGGGGGAGCCTATCCCAGCTCGCATCGGGCAAGAGGCGGGGTACACCCTGGACAGCTCGCCAGAGACAGACAACCATTCACACTCACATTCACACCTGCAGCCAATATAGAGTCACCAATCAACCTAACTTGCATGTCTTTGGATTGTGGGGGGAAGCCGGAGTATCCGGTGAAAGCCTACGCTGACAACCCACCCTGGGTTTGAACCAGTAACCCTACAATGCTAACCCCTGCACTGCCGTGCCGCCTTTTGGGTACGCAAAAAAAGTAATAAATAAACAACTTGGGACAAGACAAACAAGAGTATTTAATTGACACCAATACATTTTTCACAGATCACAGATTTATTTTACTTGCAATAAGACATTTTTTGATTCGCATGCTTTTAGTTTTGCTCTCAAATCTAATTTCTTGATTGCAAAATGGAAAGTTGTGCTTTCCCAACTGTTCTAAGGAATTACAGATAAGTAAAAAGTTATTGGAACTGGTATGAATCATGACTGAGGCTACAAAAACAGCATTTTTGGGGGGGGGGGGAGCTTAGCCAAGAGTTGCCTTTAGCTCTGTTTGGTCTTCGATAACTCCTGAGGGAAATATCTGGCAGAGCTAAACGTTTTATGTTCCCCTCCCAGTCATTAGCTCTGTGCTATGAGAGCAGTGAGAGTGAACCAAAACAGTTAAGTGGAGAGCTGGGAAATCAAAACAGTGAGCTAAAAGAAAGTAAAAACCTCGGTAGACCCAAGGAAAACCCCGTTCACATTAATTGTAATCATGTGATCATTCTTAACATGATAATATTGATTACAGACGCTTCAAACAATCGTGAACGCATTTGGGGATCAGCCCTGTGACACTGTGCCAATCTACTGCTCTCATGTTGGGA